CCCCGATTTCCTTACATATACAATATATAAATTTTTATTATTGGTCATTAAAATGGTACCGTCCAGCACAGCCAGCGCAGTGATATTCTGACACCAGATTATACTTTCAGCTTATCAAAAGTTCGTCACATCCCGTGATCAGTGGTTTACTCCTTTTCAATCGATCCTTTCTCGAAAATTCGTTTTCACTGCACTGACTATAACTGAATGGCCCATCACATGCCGTGATAAATGTTTTTGACGAACATGGTAGAATATGAATGTTTTTGACGAGCTTGGAAGAATATAAATGTTTTTGACGGGCTTGGTAGAATATAAATGTTTTTGACGAGCTTGGTAGAATATAAATGTTTTTGACGAGCATGGTAAAATATAAATGTTTTTGACGAGTTTGACAAGTGAAAATATCAGTACATCAGACATACGAATAAAATATTTATGGTTTTCGACGAGCAATCTTTAATTCTAATTTTCCATTTATTACAATTTTTACAATGTAGAGTATGTACAACGATGAAAATGTTTAAAGTGATCAAATTGCTATCGTCATATATTGCGCCATTTTCTAATGAAGGAATACGTTACAGAAAGGGTGTTCGCCATTTAAAATGCGCAATTCATTTCTAATTATTTCTGCTCTTATCTGGAAAGATATGTTTTTAACGTATTATCAAATGTGCAGTATGGGCAGATGGTCAGGTTATTATATTAACGTCAGAGAGCGATACAGTAGTATATGCATAAGTTATCAATCTCGACGGCCTTAAAAACTCTGATTTCATTTCGACAGAAGGAATCGATAACATGCTTCCTTTTCCCATCATCTTAGATTCGGAAACTATATTTTCTCTAAGATACCGATACGCATGTTTGACTTTTCAGTTGTTATCTGTACACCGGTCAAACCAATTCATCCATCAGTGGCCAATCAGTGACCACACGCCTCGTTAATTATTACTTGGAAACTAGACTCGCGAAACAAGGCATAAACAAGCTTCAATTTACAACAGATTATGGTAGAGACCGACCATGTTTTCTGTCCATTACCCTTCGGAAATGTATGTAGCGACATGTGTCGTTTTCTGTATCGTAGACAAACCGTCCGTTAAACATGTTCCATTGGTAACGTTAAAAATCTACTTATTTTTCATTCCTTTTTAATTGATTTATTGTTCGTCCGTCGGAATGATTCATGTGAGGTAAGGGTCAGAATCTGTGTTTGCGCCCGAAGATCCCCTCACAGTGTGAACAATTAAGGAACAAATGCGATGGTTATCGATTTACTGGCTTTGTTTTCCCGATATGGCATTAGACCACAATTAATGCTCCCGGTTCGTTCGTACACGAATGTAGTGCATTTCTCAATTTAAGGCTCGTTTTTAAATGAGTTTTTATTTCTTTCATGTAAATGAAATGAAACTACATGACATACCAAAATAAAGTATACATTGTTCCCCCTTTAATTAACGTGGTTGATCAATTTGTGTAAAAAATATTTTGGCGGAAGGATATAATATGTTGTTGGGCCCCTGAGTATGTATTTCAGGGTCATATCATAGTACGACGGGGTAATGTTGATATAATTAAAATTATCTTTAAAATAAGCCGGTCATGAATACTTTTCCAGCTAACCACACATGTGTCTTCGATAGCTGAACAGAACCTGTGAAAATCAGGTCTTGAGCCAAAATATATTACATTGTTTAAAGGGTTTTCTTTGGTGACATTAATTGTGGTCTGAGGCAATTGGTAGAGATTTTTACCCACCGCCCTTCCTCTGCCCAGTGCTGTCCCTGTCATTCTGTACTCATACTGGTATTAACTGAATTATTTAAGTTGACTAGTTGAAAATTTTCTCTTTTTTTTTGTTTGGCTAGGTTTTAAGGCTATAACTCAAGGTAAGCGATAGAAATAAATAGATGGCGAAACCATGATGTTTAATCGGTTATCATGTGTATCTTTCATTTTATTAGTGAATAAAAACATGATGAAAAACTCCTTGAAAATTTTAAAGTGAAATAATTTCAAGTCAGATAAACACGATAACTTAGATATTACGTGTCATTGAACCTATATATATCTATATCGTATTCTGAAATGTTTACAACATTTAATTGATAACCCTTGTTACAGTCTTCGATACCAACAGCTTGCTGCCACTGCTAGTATCATTTTCATTCATTAGTGAAACGTGACACCAGGCACCGTACAGATCAGCACGTGCTCTTCACAGATGTAAAAACAAAAACTATATTTCAATTAAACACAAATGCATTCGTCTTGCCAACAGCAATGATAACATTAAATTGATTGCAGGTTTTTCGGACATTTTATGGACGTGGAAAACAGGTTAAGAACGACGTGCGGAGAAATATGAACGCCAACATGATTCACTGCGTAAAAGTTCTCACCGGATGTGTATAATAACAGACTAATTTACGAAACGATCCCCGGGAAGTACTGTGTACACCCACAACGCTGCATGTTCCGGATTGCGCGGGTGCGCGGTTTATAACTAACACACTAGAAGGGAGGGTCAGATAAGATTATACAGTGCCAGTCAGTGAAGTTTGATAGCAAATCGCATGTGCTTTTATAAATAAATTTAATCTTCATAATTATTCATATACCTAGGTCTTACAAAATCACACGTATTACCTAAACTTCACGAAAACAATATATAAATGAAGGTGTTTTATTGAATAATAATAAGTTTTTACATAAGCTAACATGGAAACTATGTATTCTTCCGTCGTTGTTATTTTAGCTAACAAAATGTGTCGAGTCTGGAATATTAAGTTGTTAATGCAAAAGTATAGTTATCTTAACTATGCGCGTGTATTAACTGTATGTGTATGTGTACATAATGAAATACAAGTTGACAGAGGCGGCGGCGTGTCGACGACGAAATGAACGATGTCGGAAAAATGTCCAAGAGAAACAATATTCCATAAAACACTATATATCGATAACAGTTGGCCCTCGAGTTCCCTTTTAACCTATCACTGTCTAAATTGTTACTCTTCTTAGATCTCTCATCGCGAGTACTCATACATTACTCATTTTACTGGTCATTTCATCCGGGATCTCTTTCCCAGTCACGCGCGTGTGCCGATAGAACATGACCTTGCATTGATATGGTCGTAAGTGACCAATACCCTGGTCCGAATGTGTTTATTGATTTTTTTCCATATACCAACGAAAGCTATCCGGAATGGTCTTCCGTTAGAACTTTAGTGCGTTCCCCGAACTTCCGGGATGAGTTTGAGTAAAGTCTAGGGTGCGATGCTGAGATACCGGTGCCGATTGGCTAGGCTTGCACTTAGGATCTTTGCCACAGGAATGAATTCACACGTCATCCCAGCATGATCTGCTATTTTACATGGATTTCTAATTGAGATAAAAAGGAGTGGTACTCATCCGTGCACGTTTCGTCTTTACATTTAAGAGTATAAATACACACATCGGAACAAATTGCCATCATTTCACGTAATCAGTGAACGTTTTGGGGAACTACCGAGGGCACCGGTCATGCGGAGTGATAATGTGTTAAATTACTCAAAGTCTACATTTAGATTAAGTAAGTACAGACATGAAAAAAAACTTTTGTTAAGAAACAACTTCTTTGCTTATTCTTTAATACTAAAGAAACAATCACTGACATTTTTATATAAAAAACAATGTTATTTATGAAAAAAAAGTTTATTATTATATTTTTTTATTTTAACACTCTTCTTGATTTAAATCAAATTACTTACTGCTCGATATTTTTGATCAACAAAGATATACATTTGTAACAAGCGCGCGTAAAGTTCACCGTGGTTATGATAATCTTTGTCATCAAATATTGTCTATCTACATGTATTTACAGATTAAAATGACGGTATACATTGTAATATCCTCCCAAAAAAAAAAAAAATCCGTACGGTTTTTTTTAACCGGAATGCACCTGCTAATGTATCGACACGTGCATTTTCCGTTTGCGCGAGGATATCAAAGCCATACTTGTTATTTTGGGAACAAATCAGAAACACATAGAAGCGAAAGTTGCTGCGTCAAGCTAAAATATAAATATATTTATACTAGCACAAGTAAAGCTTATGTTATTGTTTTCTTCGTTCGGAAGACCGGCTGGTCAAGCGTTCGACCGAATGGTCAGCTTGATTGAGGATTGACGCTGACGCAATTATCTTTTTTTTGCCATCTGAATCTGTAAATTATTACTGTATTTTGAATAACATGGTTATAAAACATTCATCATTAGTTGAAATAGCTAGTATCTTATGATGCTCTATAGCTATATGACCGCACTCTCTACAGTAAAGAGACGATCAGCGATCAGCGCCCGTATTCGCTCTATAATACGTTGTGAATGTTTAAGTATAAGTACTACATGTAATACATTCTAAGCCAGCAGTGTTTTTATATAACAAATGGATCACAACCAAACTGGCCACGTGGTTTAGACAATACGTCATGACGTTTGTTCATGGTAACCCTTTTTCCAATAATCCATATTTAAAGTCAATATATTTTTAATGTTTTCCAGGATGAAGTTAGAGCAATAATTCAAACCACATTTGATTGATCCCGAAAATAAACATTACCCGTTCAGCGATAAGGAATCACGATGCAACAGCATTGGGTGTTTTTACTCTGACGTCGGAGAACACACCGGAGTACCCAAGCTCAACTCGTGGAAGGAACATCAACAGTTATTTGCGTTGACGAAAATTTCAAAAGTAAGTAATGATTTTTGTATAACATTCTACAGATAAAAACTGAAATGTACATCATATATATTTTTGTCCGTGTATACATGTGGATACTTAGTTAAACAATATTTCTTTAAACCACCCAACATGTGAGAGCAAACATTTCATCAATATACAAATCCTTTTTGTAGGCTCTTTGCAACAATATAAAAAAAACATAGTTTGATATGATCTATGATGGTATTTAAAGACAATCGCTCCTTATGTATAGACATGTAGTCAATAAAGACATGTAGTCTATATTAAAAGGTGGTCGTTAAAGACAGGTAGTCTCTAAAGCCAGTGGTACATGTGTTTATAGACATGTGATTTCTTTATATACTGGCGTTCTTTAAAAACAAGTTCTATTTTTAGACTTGCTGACTTTAAAGACATGTTCTTTAATAACAGGTGGTATTGATATGCATTTGGTGTTTTTTATTTACAAAATATTCAGAAAAGTTTTTCCGTCTTTTCCGTACTTAATTACATTCACAATCATTTATACTATAACCATTCTGGAGATTTCAGGTGTTACTATCGCTTACATTCTCTGCACCCTTGGAATAAATATGTCTTGCCTAATCGAAGGCTCTTTACGCGCTATCTTGCGGGCGAAACAAGTGAAACTAGTTTGATCATTTCGGTGTGTCTCAAAAGAATTACCGCTGCAGCGTATCGGTAAAATTGACCGACTTTGACGTCTGGTCTCTTCTCTCTTATCTTCAAAGGACAAGTATCAGTCAAGCGATTGGTCAGTTTTTCGTACCCGAGACCAATCAAAGAGCTTTCTTCGTGCCTTCAATATTCTGTCATGACGTAATTTCATGGGTGCAGAGAACGTAAGTGAGCGTTGCCCGAGGAATTTCGAGGATGTACCCACACAAACTGTATTCATTCCACACCATTTAATATCAAAGTTATTGTTATTTGAAATACGGTATAAAAGATAACAGTATAGCGAACACAATATTCGTATCCCTGAGTTACTTCTGATGTCAAGATTGTATCCCAAAGTGCTTCATTTCGTGGATTAAAAAGCTGAATTGTGAAAAAAAACAGGGGTGAGACAGCGCTTCACACCTGACGGTATATAAGATAGCTATCTTTGTAATCCATTAAATCTGATGGACTTGTAGAGTTCAATCATGATACGGCAAATATTTTTTATATAGAGTAGGTTTATATATTAATTAGATGTATGTGCCCGTGTAACATTGGCTGGCGCGTGCTTTTGACGCTCTGCCGACAACGATACAGATTAATCGTGCTATCTGCCGCTGGGGGGGGGGACTCCTGCTGTCAGAACTACCATTTTTAAGGTTGAGTTGGAGATTGTACAATTGTTATAGGCCTGATAAGTCGGTAGAACATCCTGCAGTAGGTCGATAGGAAAATGTATTGATAAAGTCAGGAGTTACGTGAAGTCATCAACTATCAAGGATAAATTGCCTGCACCAACACCTTCGGTTTGGTTTCATGTTTTACAGTGTTTTTATCCCCGTAAATAAGGTAAACACATTTTTCTGTAAAACGTAAGCCCTTATCAATGTCTAAACATCGCGATATCTCGCCAATTCCGTTAGATTCCGAGATTTTGCGAAAATGGCCGAGTTGTTCCGATCGCGTTGTATAATACACATCTGTGAGCGTTACAATGATGACGCTAGAGTACAGTTACGTTTAATAGTCAAACGTGTTTTTTAATTTTATCTCATCAGTGATAGATGTATGTAGTGTTAATAGATCAAATATGCCAATCTGAAGCAGGAAAAGAGAATAAATATACTTACCAAACCCTGAAAAACGTTACAACGTTACAAATTTCTGATTTTCGGCTGCAACAGATATATAATTAATTCGTTTATTTAATAATTCCATGTTAAACCTTGTTCAGAAAATAATTCCAGCTACACGGCTGTGGTAGACCACGTGGACGGAGAGTCAACAACCTTGTAACATAAGATAATATCTAGAAATATAAGCAAGGGATTACCTATCAAAACGATGGAAAGAGCGAAACAAAGTAAATAGTTTTACTGCACCGTGCGGTTATTTCGTCCACTAAGAACTGATCGCTGTTACCAAATGTCAAAAGATAATATTACATCAATATTAAGCCGGGACGTATATGAGTATACAATGTTGTTTATTGATGTACGCTATTGCGTGCGTGTTGGTATGTATAAGATCTGGGATTTCCGCTTGTTTATTGTACCTGATAACATCTGACCCATATACCAGGGATATAAAGATATACATACACACTATACGAATAGGAAACGTGTAACGTAAGTAATTGCCCTACTTTAGTTAGCGATATTGAGATGTACGGGTTCATAGCATATTGTAAGCTAGCATCTTTAAACCAGACGCTTGATCACTTTGTAATTCGTAGCTTGCGCAGACGACAAGAGTCTGGTTGAGTCTTGTAAGTTTCCTTACTTATTAAAGATATTTTTACCTCACTAAATTGTTTGGTTATGTTTCGATTGTTTTGGTTTGGTTTGGTTGTGTTTAACGTCTTATTAACAGATATGGTCATTTAAGGACGTGTCACGTTTTAATGGTGGAGGAACGAGTTACTGGAGAAATACCACCGATCAACGGCCAATACATTGCGACTGCCCCACGTAGGCCTCGAACCCGCGAGCCAGTGGTGGAGGGCTAGTGGTAGCAGAATGTCAGAAGCCTTCCACTTTGCCACCGCGGCCCACTCCCCACTTAGACTAACTAAGGTTTTGGTTATATTTCGGTTGTAGTTGCTACCATGTTTGGTATATTTGCAACTGCTTCGTATATATGTGTTTTTCAAAGTTATTATAAGTTTTTGATAGAAGCCACATGTGGCTACGCTTTCTAACACAACACGCAATCAAACCATTTACTACATGTACGTGTTAGCTCATGGGGTTCGTATATCATGTTTCAGAACAGATTTTGCACCAAGAAACAATAAACTTCTCGCGATATCAAACCATCTCGTTCTTAAGCGGTAGAGTGTTTACGTAGGAGTAACCAGGATGTCGTGTTTATTTTTATTAATGAGAGTGCCGATATCTTAAAAAAAATATCAACATGATGTTCATGGATTACAGAAATTTGGGGGTGTTTGCACAAATAATGCTTACACTTAAATAAACCACTTATCAAACCATCAAAGAGTGCAAATCGATCGTATTACGTATGTTCGTGTACGTGTTCGCGGAATAACACAACTGTACGTCTTGCTCTTTGATTTTGTTTGATATGGATGCCTTAATGCAGATCATTATAAACTCTGATATTTCTGGCAGGAACCATTAGTTTATATACAATCTCGCCCACATGTAACTCCAGGCCTGACCATCAAATGAAACCATCAGTTCTTGATCCAGTTTTTTTTTTTTTTTTTTTAATTTCATTCATTTGCCTCTGAATTTCACACAGAGCAGAACACCTGCAATGTTTGCTTAAAGATACGCCAATATAGCTTTTGGCGTGTATTCCAGATGTGTATGTCTATTTAATACCAGGTATTAGCGCTAATGCTGAAACTGGAATCTAGAACTAAAAAAATCAAAAGCTGAAATTATTTTGAGAGAATTTCTAATACTTGTAATGGTCGGTAAAGAATTGGCCTGCCGACCTTCCGGAGAGTCAGTTTGAGATACCATGCTGTGCTAGACAACTTTGTTCCATGGATCAAACATACGCTGTATTAAATCTCTCTATGATTGTTGGCTAGCAGGCGATGAGGTACAGTATTTCTGACGTAATGAGCGTTCAAGTGCACTGAAATTAATGTCTAGGGTCATCTAATCACCAGAAAGAGTCTGGTAATTTTAATTGGTCAGAAAGTGACGAATTCGTGGTGAGCATTTTTTTTTTTAAAGAGCCTGTTTTTGAGCCAGTAAGGATTATGAATCAAATAAAGTAGGTTGTCTGTGATTGGTCGATAATGATTTCTATCTTATGCATGTGGCTGTCTGTGATTAGTCGATAATGATTTCTATCTTATGAATGTGGCTGTCTGTGATTGGTCAATAATTATTTCTATCTTATGAATGTGGCTGTCTGTGATTGGTCGATAATGATTTCTATCTTATGAATGTGGCTGTCTGTGATTGGACGATAATGATTTCTATCTTATGAATGTGACTGTCTGTGATTAGTCGATAAAGATTTCTATCTTATGAATGTGGCTGTCTGTGATTGGTCGATAATGATTTCTATCTTATGCATGTGGCTGTCTGTGATTGGTCGATAAAGATTTCGATCTTATGAATGTGTCTGTGTGTGATTGGTCGAGAATGATTTCTATCTTATGAATGTAGCTGTCTGTGATTGGTCAGTAATGATTTCTATCTAATGAATGTGGCTGTCTGTGATTGGTCGATAAAGATTTCTATCTTATGAATGTGTCTGTGTGTGATTGGTCGATAATGATTTCTATCTTATGAATGTGGCTGTCTGTGATTGGTCAGTAATGATTTCTATCTCATGAATGTGTCTGTCTGTGATTGGTCAGTAATGATTTCTATCTTATGAATGTAGCTGTCTGTGATTGGTCGATAAAGATTTCTATCTTATGAATGTGGCTGTCTGTGATTGGTCGATTATGATTCTCAAACAAACGAAACTAACAAATACATCATGCAAGTTCACATTTCAAGTTGTCATCATTGTTCAGAGTTGAACAACTCTGTTGAACCCCTTCCCACACCTTTCCATAAAGGATGTCTGGAACCCTTGTCATAAAACGTTTAGCTGAACTCATTCTTTAAACAGTTGGTTGGACCCCTCCTATCAAAATTTGAGTTTTCAATATATGTCATTTATAGTTTGCAGGTTGGTACATGTCCTTAAAACACGAAATTCGAAACCTTACCGAATGATTTGGTTAGAACCTTCCCATTATGGTTTAAATTATGATATCAAGAACTGGTTGCTTTGGTTTGTGTTGTTTGTGTTTTAGTAGTAGTAGTACCAGGTTTTAGTGGTGGAGG